GGTGTCTCTCGAGGCCAAAATCAGTGTCTCCTTCCTGGATAGTTGTCATAGCCATGAAATAATCCAGAGTTGGGCCAAGCGAGTGGCACCATTTTAGCAGACAGATTAGCGCCAGATCAGATGGCTTTCTTTAAACGAGGAGACACATGAACTCTGGTGACACTCTCGGCATTACACTCCACTTTGTGCAGACCGCATGTCAACAGCTGAGGTCGGCCAGGAATGAGACGAAATGTTTAGCCAATATTTTTTACTCTGTATGCTCTAAACGAAGGGTGTGTGTGCATGGATTTGTGTATGTGTGTGTTTTGGGTTATGGAGAGGTGGGGTATGAGGCATTTGTGGGCGCGTAATATCCCCAGCCTTCTCAATCTCTCTCTCCTCTCCAACTTATTACCTTGGCTAGTTGATCTGATGGTGTAATAATATCTTCTGCCTCTGGCTATGGGAAATGGCCACATGCATTATTCACACATGCTAAGATGCTTATTGATGACTCCTTTATTTATATAATTCCTCAATGCCAGAGTCATTTCTCACATTTGTTACCCCTTAGTTTTAATCCCCTGTTTTGAGGTGAGCCTCGTCACAGGAGCCTCGCTCACTCTTCGCTGTGGAGCCGGCGCTAATAATACATTGCAGAGGTGGAGCCCCATTTATAAAATCTGTTTTATTTTGTCATAGCTGTTTCCATCAGGATATTACGCAAATGCTGCATGAAAATCCACAGAAAAACATAAGTCCTTTGAGAAAACTAGCATGTCATTGCCTTGGGACTCAAGGGTACGTTTGTCTAATCAAATTTGTGTACATTCCTCAGCTCTTTGCTTCTTTTTCATTCATGCAGCCGTTGGTAAATGGGGCATATTCTCTTTTATGTCGGTGCACGCTGGAGTTCAGTGCTACTGGATATTTAGTTGGTTTGCGCTCTGATCTCACATTTCTTTTCTGCTCAAAACCATGACCCCTGGAGCAGCTTCAGCAGCACTGTGGTGAGCCCGGTGCTCTGGGTGTGCACGTTTGTGTGCTGGTTGCACGGAGGCATGAGAGTTTTTATGTTCCTTTCTTGTGAATTAGTATCTGAAGAACACCTCGAGTGAATTTCTTCAAATTTGGCACAAGTGTTGGACTCAAGGAAGAACTGATAAGATTTTGACGGTCAAAGGTCAAAGGTCAGGGTCGCTGTAGTCTTGCATGGCCAGACCGTTCTGCAGCACAGAATGATCTGGCAGCACCTCATTATTATTCATCTGTGGGGCAAAAAAAAATATATCCCCTAGCTTGGTTGTATTTCTTTAAATCAGTCACAATCTTATTGGGCAGAGCTATGCCAGCGGTGTCAGGCAGAATTTGTTTGCAAAGAGGCGATCACTGTTGAAAGACTTGCCAGTCTGTCCTATAGCATGATCCAAATCCTTTGCAAAAATTGAAGTTTTCATCGTGGTAGGCTGCTAGCATGGTGGTTTCTGAAAATAGTAATATGTAGATAGTGGAAGGTGAGGGGAAAGTTGTGGGCAACCAGTGGCTGGCTCATACCCACAGTGTCTACACAATCTATGAGTCAGTGGGCTCAAGAACTCCTACATCAGCTAAGATTCACACGAATGTCTAATAAGACATCGTAATGAAGTTGATATGATGATATTTTGTATCCAAAAGGTCACCTTTCTGGCGATTATTCAAGGCCCTAACTCAGGAACAGAAATAGAAATGGCTGTAAACTGTAACTTGACTAGCTGGTGTTGGCGTACACCTGCAAGGTAGTAATTTTAGTGAAAACTTTGCTGTCAGGCCATTTTAATAACAAAGCTTATTTTTGGTTTTTGATCAACATGCTATCTCTCTGCCTCAAACACACACACACACACACACACACACACACACACACATACACGCACACGTGTTCCAAATATAGGCCCTTTTACACTGGTAAATGTTCAAGGTTTTGGCTGGATTGACTTAATACGTGTAAAATAAAGTGGAAACGGTCTGATTTCTAAAATGCCTTTTGGTTCTATCAGCGTTACAAATGTGTACAGTATAGAACGCACATTTGCAGTTTGATTCGCTGGCAAGTTTCACGCCATTCGGTCGACTACAAAACCTAAAGTGTGTTTCTTTATTTGTTTTTTAAATGTACCGAGTTTTAGTCAAAGTTATGGTTAAAGACATCAGGCTGGGGAAAAAAATGCTTTGGCTCAGGTATGAATGAAACACAATCTGTTGAAATGCCTCTGCAGACAGCTGTACTGATTAAAACTGTACTGATTGGACATTTTCTTTCCCAATACTGATTCCAGTGCTTCTGCTCAGGGTATCTGCTAATGCAGATTTCTTATTCAATAACAGTGCTCTCTTTTTCTCTGAAATCTGAAATCTTTATACCACAATCTGTTGAACTAATTAAATTATTTTTTTTATTGGAAGGTTCGATGAATCCAGACATCTGTTGCACTAAAAAGTGTCTTCCTGCGACTCGATGTCAATAGAAGGAATGTTGTAATTGCGTTGACAAGGAAACTGTGTGTAATGTGTAGATTGGTCAGGTTTGGATGCTACACAACTGATTAAAAAAATGTCAGAGTTGACCCATAGGCGTAAAATGTGCATCTGTTGAGACGGATGATTGAAAAACGTGACTGAAAAAAAAATTGACAAAAGCAACAGAATTTGCCTATAAATAAGCACATTTTAATATTCTTGAAATCATTTGCATTTTTATGTAGTTCTTCCAGCTTTTATTTTGCATGCGAGAAATGCCACCTACCATCGTAACATCTGGGCTTTAGCTGTGCAATATGGAGAAAAAAAAGAAGGGAAGATACAGGAGAGGTCAGGAAGTGAGTAAGAATAGGCGATGCGGAAGACTAATTTTGCCACTCCATATTTAATGCATTGGTAATGGTAGTCCTCTTAGTATTCTCCTTACCACAGCCGTCCTGCCAGACACAGCGGGCTGCCCTGGCCTCTTGCTCATGTCTGCGCTCACATACACACACATATGCCCCCAAAATATCAGCTTCGGACTGGAAAACTAGTTCACCGCAGTGACTGGCCCAAATAGGAGAAGAGTGCATGACACATAAGCAATCACTGTTTGACCGAGTACTTTCATTTATTTATTTATTTATCTTCCTCTTACCTTTCTCCGTTTTCGTCCTCATTCTTCCTCAAACCACCATTTTATTTATTTAGTTATTTTTTGTAACGGCCACATTGCAGGATTAGTGATTTCACATCAGGACCAAACAAAAAAAAAAAAAGATCAATGCTTTGACGCTTTATAACTGTAAAATATCTGACATGATCAGTGTGTTCCAGGGTTATTTTGTGATAAAAAGGTTTAAATGACTTTTGTGGTATATACCCTATTTCAACCTGACTCGTCTTCGATTTCAGTTTATGATTACTTTCAGTTCCCAGAATGCAATTTGACAGCCCGGGAAGAAAAATGCCTGCATCTGATGCATCCAGCTGAGTGCGAAAGTTTTTCCTGTCAAGTACAGGGCTTAAAGTCTATCCCTGTTCACAGAAACACATTAATTTTATTTTTTTGTTTTACTTAAACAAGGCCTGTGTTATTGTTTTTGCCTGTTTTTCACATTTTGATACATTAATTTATTTTCTTTTAGGCATCTTTTCGGCGAGTTCGGTCGCTGATCTGAATCCCCCAAGTTGCTACCCGCTCCCTCCCATCATTCATCATTGTTGCTGTTTGTCTTTCTGGCTCTTCGAGTGAAAGTGTTTTGCAGCTGATTGTCGAGTCTTTGATGTTGCTGTTTCCAACCAGCACCCGAACACAAAAAAACACTGCCAGTGTCTGCCTGGAAATCAAAGAGCAGCCTGTGTTCACTTTTTGGCTTCACTAAAATCACGACTACTAGTTCAGTACAATACAGGCTTCAGATTACTGTAACATACATAAGACATGAAGAGCTTTCTTATTTAGGTCAGAGTCAAAATAAGTAGATGTTATTCTACATGAACTCATTTTGAATTGGCTAATAACTTTCAGTCTGGACGGCTGCTTTATAAAAAAAAACGATCATATCAGTGTCGCATGATAGCATATTGACAAAAACACTGCATGGGTTGGATTGCTGCGGGCCAAGAAGTGACGTAACCACATGTGGGATGTAGATTTGGGGGCACTTGTTGACAGCATGGCCGCTTTAGGGAGCGTTGGATGGAGTAAGTTCTTTAAACATCCGGAGTGTGTTTATATGAACGAGTTTAAGGAGCACAAGTGCAACAAAAGTAAAGATGAAAAACGTGCGTCATCTTTTCTTTCTCTTTCATCGCGCTAGTCGTTTTTCCCTCGCGTCCTTGTACCAGCAGTGATACGAAGCCTGCAAACAGGTCAATGACTCGCTTATCAATACCGTGATACTCAAACATGCGTTATTGATAACAATGAAATGTATCGATTGCGATATTTCGCAACACTGGCTCGCCCGTGAACCGACGGATGATTTGCCACTTGTAATAAAGAGAATTTTATTTGATGTTTGTTTTTCCCCCTCATTCACTTCTCGGTGTTTAAATTGCTATCGTGATCTTATAGGTATCATTGCACATTTGAAATCTCAGCTGGAATCATTAATAATATTGCAAACCACACACAATGACACATTCACATAATTCTTCCCACGTTCTGTCTTTTTCTCCCTCTCGCTTTTCTTCATTGTCTTCCTTTGAAATAAATTGTCTGTGCCTGAATGCTTGAGCCTTGCTGAGCTTTACTGTTAGCAATATGGTGTTTGATTTTCCAGCTGAGAGCCTGGTAGCCTCTGTGAGGGCGACTGTGAGACAGAGAGAGGGAGGATGTGCGAGAGAATGAATGGGGAAACGTGTTCAAATGAAACTGTGTGTGTGTGTGTGTGTGTGTGAATCGAACTCTGTGTGTGTGTGTGTGTGTGCGAGCCAGCCAGTGTGTTAACCTTGTGTTTGTGTGCACGTTAAGCCCTGCTCCACTGACACTCTTCCCTCCTTCTCCGCAGAGAGAAGTGCCTTCATTCGCTGACCCCTGTGGCTGTTTGGCTCCACTGAAGCCGTCTGTGCCTCTGTGCCTGTCCATGTCTGCCGGAGCTGCCAGCCACACCAGGAGCACCAGGACTGCCATGACTGCCAACCTCATCTACTGAGGCCGCCTCCACGCCACTGACACCTCCCTCCCTCCCTCCCTCCCCCCCTTCCAGCTCCTGCTCTGTCTGCCAGCCAGAACTCTCTCCATCCATGCCACTCATCCCTCCTCTGTGGAAGTCAACCACTTCCCCCTCCTCTGTAGACCGAGCCCCGCGCTGAAGCAGCTTTTATCGCCTCCTCTTGTCTCTTTCGCCGTCCCCCCCCTCCTCCTCCAACAGCCTTTTTTTTTTTCCTTCTTCTCCTCCTTCTCCTCCCTTCTCTCCTCCAGCCCTGCATCTTTTCATCATGGGCCAACTCGATCGATAACGCGTTTTGCCATTCGTCTCATCTGACAATTCAGCCGAAGAGCGAGCAAAGGCGACGGAGAGAGAGAGCTAGTGTGTGTGTGTGTGTGTGTGTGTGTGTGTGTTTGAAAGAGAGAGATTACAAAGCAAACCTCTGTGGCTATCACCAGCCCAGGCCCTGGGTGACAGGCGCTGAAGGATTCCTGTTTGAGCCCCCAAACAGACTCTTAGGATGGGCCGCAGGTGGTAGGCGACTCCAAGGCCTCACAGGCTTCACTTGAGTATCAGACCCTGGGGACAAAAACCTCCTAAAGTCTGGCTTTTTTTCCTCCATGTCCTTTCCCTATTCTTTCTCACCGTTTGTCCCGGTATTATTAGAAACACACAGACGTACACATAACCGCATTTGCTGGATATCTGCTCCTCTTAATCGACCCCTCCTGCCTGGTTCGAAATGGCGGTGAATGTGACACCGATCCGGGACACAAAGTGGCTGACGTTGGAGGTTTGTCGGGAATTCCAGAGAGGAACTTGTTCACGGCCGGACAGCGAGTGCAAGTTCGCCCACCCTGCCAAGAGCTGTCAAGTGGAAAATGGCAGAGTCATTGCCTGTTTTGACTCACTCAAGGTGAGTATGACAAACACCTGTGATGTTCATTCATCACTGCCCTGTTTTCTTTTCTTTTTTTTTTTGTTCCTGGCTTGCAGCACTGACAGGCATTGTCTGAGATTTAGTAATGCAAGAACTTGTTAGAGATGAAGATAAAGTATATTCAGGCGCTGATGCAGAATCGATCGGGGCCTCTTTTTAAAACAAAATCAGTTGTCAAATGGAAGGAAATAGCAGCGATTCCGGCTGTTGAGCTTCTTACGAGCGCCACGGGGTTAAGCTTTGGCAAGGGAATGAATGCATATCTGTATAAATACTTTTAAACGTGTGTATGTGTGTCTTGGTAAGCTGAGATGATCGCATTAACATCTGTGAATCCGAGTCAGAGTTTCCTTCGCAGGCACATAACTTTGGAGCAGGACTGCCGGTTGGCACGTTGCGAAAGATCCTCTGTGATCGCCGCATCAACAGGCTGAATGGGAAATATACAAGTAGGACAGCATACTGTGTGTTTCACGTTTGTATGCGAGTATATGTCTGTGCGTGTTATTTTGGGGTCATGCTGCACAGTGGGGTGTTCTCAGAAGGCTCTGTAATTTACTGTCTATTTTTGCCCTGGCACTGAGACAACACACTCCCACTATGCAGCTCCTCTCTCAGTGACGGGTGGGTGGGTGGAGGGGGGAAGAAGAAAAATAAAACAGCAAAGCGGACGGAAAGAGGGAGGGAAAATAGAACGGGCTGGGCCGAGAAGTTGCGAAGAAAATGAAATTATATATATTAAAGGATTCATTACACAACGCTGTGGATTAAGTGGCAAGAATCATTTAGCTGCCACTCAGAGGCTGATTGGAATCCCCACAGTCTGTACAGACTATAGCCAAAAGTGTTTGGTTTTGATTAAAACTTTCATAATGATTCATAGAGAGTTTGATATTTATGTCAAGAGTCATTTATGTCACACTATAATCCTGTCTCCCCCTCTTTAAATGCTAGAAGAAGAAAAAAATTGTGCGTAATATGTTTTGAAAGGAACATAATTGCCCTTATTTGATTTAATTCGCTGGATATGTTTTCGTCAGTCTGACAGGAATTTTGTTTTGTGAAGCAGTCGTAGTAAAGTGTAGCAGTGGATGGTAGATGGGCAGAGCGCTGAAGTTTGACACTGGAGTTTGCATCTTTGCCTTTTTACTTTTTCTGCCACTTGCCAATGAGAACTAGACACAGCTGAGGCTAATGGGAATGTGAATATTTTTGCAAGTATTTGGTAAAAAAAATTAATAAATTAAGTATTGGAAACATTTTCTATCGCGCTAGAAAAACTGAGCAGCACGCCAAAGTTCAGCAAATTATTCTGAGATGACCGTGAATTTTTTGCGCCACATTTCATAGCCACCATTCCAGTAGCGTTTCACTCTAAACCGCCAAAGTCAACTTCAGGGTGAAACCCGATGGGATCACCAAAGTCAGGACGCTTTATCCTCTGGGGACTTCTCAGGTGTGGACATCTAAGACAATTAAGCCCATGTATCACCCCAGAAACTCCTTGCACTGTCACTGCAAGGCCAGTGGGGGTGCAGAGGGGCGCCGGGAAGATGCATCCGTCACAGTGCATCTTTGTACTCGATTTAAAAAAAAAAAAAAAAAAAAGTCTATGATGGATGTAATGAAAATAAAATGTATCCAGAATTACAGAGCTAGAATTTAAAAGTACACAGATAATATAAAATGAATTAAATTATTCTTAAAATTGGAAGATAAATTCATCAGTTGATAGTATGAACTTAAGTTTTTATGTAAGAGCTACATGTTCAATAGGAGGTAAACATTTTACCTAAATTTGTATGTATGTCAAGAAAACTGAAAAAGACTGTATAATAATTCAGTAAATTTTCAATAAAAAGAAAAAAAAGTTAACATCTGACATTATTTTTTTTTACAGACTTTTCTATACAATTAAAGAAAAAACTGAAAACTACTGTAATATTTCTGTATTTTTATTTTTATTTTTTTAAATTTGCATTTTATAACAGTGTAAAAATGAACTCATCCTGTCCCACGCTTCAAATCAACATGAACTCTTTCAACATAAACTATAACAAAGACTTCTTCCCGAAGCTGTTGCCAAGTGAGGTGACTTATCAAAACATAACCGCAAAGTAATTAATCATGGTTTAGTGCAATGAGCTCATGTTGTAGGTAAAACAAAGGAAAATATACGCCAGTGAACACTATTCAGTTGATGAAATAAACTAATCCAGGTGGCATTATTGTGCTTCTCTTCCAAAAAACAAGTGTGAACATAAATAACTTGTTGGAAGAAAATGTCAGGTGTGAGCTCACCTCAGCGAAAACACCATCAGAGGAAAAGAGGACGATACACTGAAAAAACTAATTAAAATGGGATATAAGTAACACATTATTATGGCTCAGCACACACTTGTGAGCGTCCATACTATGTGGGTATACATCTGGTCACAATTTGCCAACAACAGTAAGAGAGTAAGTCCAGAGTGACCTGTGGTAGCATGTGTTGTGGCCGAGAGCCAAACATAAACACTGTCCTTCTGTAATAGACTCTATTTTATACAAACACAATTGCATGTCAATATACTGAAATCAAGTCACGTACGCAACATGTGTGCACACATGACACGCAGACCTCACACTGCTGCCTCGTTATTTCACATTTTGCAAATGTGTTGCACGTCGATATCGCTGAAGTCAATCTGGGTATTTTGGCTCAAGTGGGCACAATGATTCCAGATCACAGAGTTCTGTCTACCGTGCTGTGGACATGTCTTGTAATTTGTCTCCTATCTGATTGGCAAGCATGCTGTTATTCAGCGTAACTGGAGACCGGCGCTGGAAGTCAGTCAAGCAGTCCAGGCCTCAGCTTACCTTGGTTTATACCTGGAGGTGGATTTCTTGCTAAGCCAGGCGCTGTGTTATTACAGTTATGGGCTGTTTGGTTGGACCGCCGATGGCTTGGGTGGGTTCGCTTGGTACAGGTAAGACAGGAATGGATAAGGGGGGTTGCTGGGGCATCGCATGGATCATGAAAAACAGACAGGCGGACTGAGCCGGAGAGGGCAAGAGCAGGCGCAGCAGGGAATGTGCGAGGAAGCATAGCGCTGTGCTCAGAGCCCTTCCCTGCTCTCAGTGCCAGGGCATTCCACAGTCTACCTCCCTTCCCTGCGTTCATGACAGAATGATAGATCTGCTTTATCTGCAGATGAATTCATAACACATAGCTGGGCATGGAGAGAGGGGAGAGGGGATAAGGGAAAGGACAGTCAGGAGGATGTGCAGAGAAAAAAAAGGTAGTAAAGGGATGGATGGTGGTAAACGTGGCTTCCCACTCCTGGACGATTTGTCATAGCAGCCGCCCTTCATTGCTTCTCAGGCCAGCGAGGGAAGGGAGGGACTGTAAGCAGGAGAAACAGGAAAGGCATTTTCCTACTTTTTTCTTTTTCTTTGTATTCATGTAGTCTCTCTCAGATTTAATTAAATGCTCTATCTTTTTATTCTTAAACACAGAGCAGCCTTGTGCATTCTTACCAGTTCGTCTGTATATACAGATGTCTTTATTACCTCCTTTCTCTCATAAGCTTCATTCAGGCACTCAGTGATGCCTCAAGAAAAAAAAAAAGAAAAAAAAAAAGAGAAGGTGTTTGTGTCAGCAGCGAATGTAGTGGAAAGTTCCATTTGATGGCTGGCGTTAGAGAGGATGGAGTGATAGAGGCGGACAGGAAATGAGTCAGAGGCAGAGACTCTGTAGGATTGACTGATATTACAGCGAGAATGACCCTCGCAGCCCAGAATCACAAAAAATACCATCAAGAAACATCCTTATGACGACCTGAGGACGCTGTCCAGGTACAAAATCAAAGTGATTTCACATAGCGCTCATTTAGTCATTTACAGCTGGAAGGGAAACAGCTGGATGGACCTTAATGGGTTCAATGTGCAAAGCGCAACATCTGCAATATGACACAGTTTTGTCTTAATAGCATCAAAAGTTCTTTTGTTTTAACTGTCAGCCTGCTGACGGGTTGCAGACAAATGAAGATTGCACCATTTGTCTAAGCGCCTACCTGTTCATATCTTCCTGAAAAGTCATTTTTTTTTACACTTTGAATTCATTTTAAATGCAAATGTGAACCATCTAGAATTCTATTCACATTCAGTCTGAGGCAGAATTAGACTGATGTTGTGTCTCGATGCAAAAACTCTGGGGAGGGAGGTTGAACTAGATGGATGCATCTGAATTTACATTCCATCTTTTCTAAACTGGTCAAAATTCATACCTTTTTACCATAAAGTTAATCTTTCCCTGACCTGAATCAAGTATTCTCAGCTGCCAAAACTTATCTGAAGAGCTACCAGATCAGAAAATAACTCCTCTGCTCAACAGTCAGTCGGTTTCAGAAGGCACAGACAAACAACCAATTTTGGACTTGTTGAACAATCGTCTAAAGTTAGAGAGAGATAAAAACAAATGTGGTACTCTTGTCCTTTTGGCTCCCGCTGAAGGAATTCAGCAGCTTGTTGCTATTAGCAGCTGGAGACAAAGCTGGTTTCACTGCAAGTGAATAAAAAGCAAATCTGGGGGTATTTAGGCTGACGAAATACAATAAACTCACCATCGGGCTGTGATGGGAAACAGGTGAGAGTGAACCCGAAAGCCACGGGGGTGTGACGGACTGGATACTGATGATCTTGTTAAAATGATCTGATAGGGAGTTGATTTCCTTTCGCTAAGATTTCCATTTTTCCTGATACTTTTTTTTTTTTTTCTAAAATATTGTCATTATTGGATTCCATTATGTCAGAAGCTGCTGTTCTTTTTCAAAAGATCAAAACCGGCGTGTTTTTAAAGAGCAGCTATATTTCCAGCCTACGGGGGAGCATTTAATCACCGCTTTTGAAGCTACCAAATTGTTAAACTTACATTGTTAAAGTTAAACGTTGTGATTCATTTGTTCATTTTTAATCTATTTGACTGAAATATATCA